TGAATCATCTGAGGTGTGGAGAAATGAAATGAAACGAATGACGCGCACAGGGCCCTTGCCCCTTCTCTTTTCCTTCTGCCCTTGCAGGAGACAGAGTTCTTCCTGTTACACATTTATGATGTGATCCTGGCCTCTTACACATTTGAGGTGTGACCCTGGGAGAGCCCTCTCTCATCTCACCACAGACTTGACCTTGGGGGTAAGACAGGTCAGACTTCAGGCACTTGCATTTCAGGGGTTGTTTGTGTTTGAATCTCACTTGCCTTTCTTTTCCCTCCTAATTCTCATTTGCTTCCTCCTGCAGAGGTGGAATATAACCCGGTCTTCTGTCTGTGCTCTCCCTTTGGTAGAGAGAGCCTTGCTGTAAGGTCCAATTGGGTGGAGCGTGCAGCTGACAGATTTGCAGTGAAGGATGAGGGTGGAAAGTGTGTAGCTGGAGTGGGAGATATGCGTCTATCTCTTCTACTGCGCTAGGGAACGCGTCTGCTTTCCTTTTACCACTGAGTACCCAGATAGTGATTGGCACATGAATGGGTTCAGGAAACCTATCAGTGCACTCTTCATTGCTATAATGAAATAACTGAGGCTGAATAAGTTTATTAAGGAAAAATTTTGGCTCATGGTCCAAGGGTGAGGGGCTCATGTGATGATGACCTTGCTGGCAGAATCTGGAGGTGGCTGAGGGTACCACATGATAAAAAACAGTGAGCTGAGTCTATGTGTATTTCTTCTGGGCTCTCTCCCTCTTATAAAGCCACCAGGATTCACTCATGGGCATTCTATGTGAATGATTTTTTTTTTTTTTTGTCTTTTTGAGACAGGGTCTCGCTTTGCAGTTCAGGCTGGCCTTGGGCTCACTTTGTAGCCCAGGCTGGCCTCAAACTCACAAGGATCCTCCTGCCTCAGCCTCCCAAGTGCTGGGATTACAGATATGCACCACCACACCCAGCTATGCTAATGATTTGAACTAATCTAATAATTTCCTAAAGACAAAAGCTCTGAACACTATAGTTGATTAAGTTTCTACCCTCTTCATACTTCACATAGGGATCAAGTTTCATAATGGTTGGAAGTGGTGGTGAGGGACAAACCTAATTCAAACCATAGCAGTAAATATTTGTTGAATGATTATAAAAAAGTTAAGCTTAGACAGCCAAGTTTCATTAAAAAGTCTGCAAGATAGATTTATACTTTATCTGGTATTATTTTATTCTAAAACACCACACATAATATTTTAACATACACATAATATGCACTTTTTTGGAGCATGGTGTGACTATGTGTTTCAGGCTAGATGTGAACTCACTATGTAGCTCAGACTGGCCTTGAACTCACATCAATCCTCTTGCCTCAGCCTCCTGAGTGCTGGGATTATAGGCATGCGCCACCATAACCAGCTTTAGTGTGTGTGTGTGTGTGTGTGTGTGTGTGTGTGGCATCTATCTATTTATTTATCTATCTATCATCTGTCATTTATCTATCATATCTGTCTGATTTTTATAGTTACTATTGAGTAAAATAATTCTGGTATGACTATCTCATCTAACTGAAAAGATGATTTTGCATTTTTTTTGTGGCATTAGGGATTGAACTACTGTGCTCCATCCCCAGCCCTTTAACTTTGTGTGTGTGTGTGTGTGTGTGTGTGTGAGAGAGAGAGAGAGAGAGAGAGAGAGAGAGAGAGAAATCTTCATTAAGTTGTCCAATATATTAGTGAGCTTCTTATTGCTGGGACAATTACCCAACACACACAACTTGTAAAGGAGAAAGGTTTCTTTGACTTCAGTTTCAGAGAATCCAAAAATGGTCAGTGGGCTCCAAGGCAGCAACAGGGTAGAAGATGTGATAGAACAAAGCTGCTTATTTGTGGTGACCAGAAGCAGAGCAGGGAAACAGTGCCCGAGATGCAAGGGGTCAAGGACCAGGTATGGACCCAAAGGTCACACCTCTACAACCCATCCAGACATCCAGAAGTGTGCCCTAATAAACCCCTAGGTAGCTCCCAAGCCAATCCAGTTGACAGTTAAGCTTAGCTATCACATCCCATCTCTTGTCAGCTTCACATCCAAACACATGTCTGTAAATCATATCTAATATCCAGAAGAAAAAAAATCCAAATAAAGACAATAGCAAATTCATAATTCACCCTAACATGATACAGCTGTCCTGAATATAAACAGAAATGCAATAATCCCATACCCCAAATCGCAACAGTCCTCGCATCTCTCAAAAGTTGACGTCAAAGCCTCTTTTGAGATCAAGGCAAACTCTTGGCTGTGAACCTCTGGAAAAATAAAAAAATAAGTTACAGAATCCTGGGATATCATGGTACAGAATAAACATTGCCAGTTCAAAAAGCAGGAGTAGGGCGATAGAAAAGAATTGGACCCAAACAAGACCAAAACCCAGCATGGAAAACATTAAATCTTGTAGCTCCACATCCAGCATCCGGGGTACATGGGAGTGGTGAGTGACCTCCAAAAGGCTTGGGTGGGCCCATGCCTGTGTCCTGGCCTATTGCAGCCCACACAGCCTCTCTCGGACCGGCTCTCCTCACTGCCCCTGTCTTTCCTCAGTGGATAGTCCATGTTGTTTTTTTTTTTTTGGTTTTTCTCCGGTACCGGGAACCGAACTCACGACCTTGCGCTTGCCAGGCAGGCGCTTTTGCCACTGAGCTAAATCCCCAGCCCCTGTGGATAGTCCATGTTCTTGGCATCTCCACCTTCTTGGGGTCTTTAAGGCACCTCCAGCTTTATTCCCACAGCTTTAAGCACTGTGCCCCCAGGAGTTCACTCCTTCCTTCTTTCCTTATATTTTCCTTTATTTTTGGTGTTTTGAGACAGGGTTATTGTATAGTAAACTGGCCTTGAACTTGTAATCCTCCTGCCCCAGCCTCCTGAGTGCTGGGATTACAGTGCATGCCACCTCACCAGGCTTGTTTCTGATTTCTTGCTGCACATTGTCTGTCCCTATTTGACTACAGAGGAGACTGAGGATATTTATTGTGCATCTGCATGGAGGTGGCCTCCATGAACTTTTTTTCCTAGCTGTTATGGTTTATCTCTAGATGTCCCCCTAGAGCCTCATACAGTCTTAGATGGAGCTTTTTTAAAGTTGGCTGAATCTAGAGCGTGTGATTGAGTCCTGGTGCAATGCTGGGATTAAGAGTGGGCGATTGCTGGGTCAGTCCACTCATTGCATTGGCACCACCCTAGTCCTGGTTGGCTGAGTACAATGTGAGGGAAAGAGGTGTGTCCTACCCACCCCTTGTTGGTTTTGCTGTCTTCCGCTGCCATGAAGTACTGCCTCTCTGCCATGCCACCTTGCCTTGGAAGCAGCCACTTACGAGCTGAAACCTCTACAAATTGTGAGCTAAATAAAACTTTCCTCCTTTAACTTCAGGTGTTGGGTATTTTGTCTCAGCAATAAGAGAAATGTAACTAAGACACTGGCTTTGGCCACCTTTGCTCACTTACTAGTGAGCCATCTCACCAGAAAACAAAAAAACAAAGAAAAAGATTCCATGCACAAATAACACATAATAAAACAAAAAGAATAACATATTAGAAGCTTGTAAGTAAAACAGTCTGGATAAAATGCACAGTTTATTCACAAACTGCCAGCATTATACCTATGCCTAGCAATGTTGCATTCCAATAGCTTCCTTACATTGACCTTGGAATCTGAGAGCCCTCAGGTTTTTTTTGTTTTTTTGTTTTTTTTTTGGTTTTTCTCTGGTACTGGGAACCGAACTCACGACCTTGCGCTTGCAGGCGCTTTTGCCACTGAGCTAAATCCCCAGCCCGAGAGCCCTCAGTTCTGAGGAAGTGTAGAAACTCCTTTCTCTTTTCCAGTTTCCCAATTTACCTTCTCATTCTTCCCTGAATCTCTAGGATTTAGATGACACGGGGATTAGGCGAATGGTTGGGTTGAAAATTCATAACGAGGGTGTAGGGCCAAGAAGGGAGGGTTTTCCCTGAGAGATCAAGGACAGACATGTAGGAAGTTAGACGTATAACATTCCATGCAGGGAATTCCTGATTATCTTGAGTGTGTGAGTTTGTTACCTGACTTCAGATCATCTGTTAAGTGGGGGCTCCTAGCCTCCTTGGGGCTGAGCTAAAAGAAGAATCGGGACCATAATGGGCATCTGAGGAGGAAGGCAGGGGAAACTGGGAAGGACCAGATTGCATTTTAAGGCCACTGAGAGTACCTGTAGTTGTTAAGAGCATGGATCCTGGAGCCAAACAGACTGGGATCCAGGAGTCTGAGATTGTAGCTCAGTGGTAGAACACTTGCCTAGTATGCACAAGGCCAATCCTAGCAGTTCCCTCCCCCCAAAAAAGTATATATATATATCTTGTAACTGGGTATCTTCCTGTCTCAGTTTATCTGTAAAATAGGGGTAATTCTTACCTCACAAGGTTTCTATGAAATTAGACTAATGATTATCTATGTAAGGTGATTGGAAGTCAAAATCTGTCTCATATCAGTAAAAATAAATGTGTTAACTTCAAGCTTAGCTATTTTCATGTTCAGAAATTCCTAAGAAAACAGTAGTCCAAAGTACAAGGGACCGTGGCAGGCTTTGGTGACATGTTTTTTTTTAAATGAGGCTCTGAACTACCTTTACAGAGCACTGGGTCCTTTGGTCCAAGGTGAAGTGTCACACAGTTAAATTGGATGGAAGGAAGGATGAAGTATGAGATTTGTTTCTTCCCTTCACTTGTCTTCAGAACTTGCCACAAGAAGTAGGGAAAGAAATCAATAGTTTGATGCAGCACATTAGCCGGGTGTGGTGGCGCGTACCTTGTTCCCAGCACTCTGGGAATAAAAGATGAAAGGGGCTTTACTGCAAAGGCCCTGGGTTAAATCCCCAGTCCAAAAATAAAAGTAACAGTTGAGGGCATAACTGGCTAAATGTGCTCCCGCCATGCTTTTTTAGTTCTCTGTCCGAGTTTAAGACACTCACCCTTCCTTCCCACTGTGCTTTTATGCAGGACCAAAATGACCACTGCAGCTCCTAACGGCTGCCGCTCCAACCTGGACTCCAGGTACCACAGACTTTGCGATACGGCCGAGAGCTGGGGCATCATCCTGGAGACATTCGCCGCGCTGGGGGCCGTGACGTCGGTGGCCTTAATGCTGGTGCTTGTGGCCCTCATCTGCAAGGTGCAGGACTCCAGCAGGCGGAAAACGCTGCCGACCCAGTTTCTGTTCCTCCTGGGCGTGTTGGGGGTCTTTGGCCTCACCTTTGCCTTCATCATCAAACTGGATGGGGGCACGGGGCCCACGCGCTTCTTCCTCTTCGGTGTCCTCTTTGCCCTCTGTTTCTCTTGCCTCCTGGCCCACGCTTTCAACTTGACCAAGCTCGTCCGCGGGAGGAAGTCCCTGTCCTGGCTGGTGATTCTGGGCTTGGCTCTGGGCTTCAGCTTGGTGCAGGACGTCATTGCTGTCGAATACATTGTCCTCACCATGAACAGGACCAACGTCCACGTCTTTTCCGAGCTCTCTGTGCCCCGTCGCAATGAAGACTTCGTCATGCTGCTCATCTACGTCCTCTTCTTGATGCTGCTGACCTTCCTCACTTCCTTCTTCATCTTCTGTGGCTCCTTCGCTGGCTGGAAGAGGCATGGGGCCCACATCTTCTTCACCATGATCCTCTCCATCGCCGTCTGGGTGGCGTGGATCACCCTGCTCTTGATTTCTGCCCTCGACTCCATGTGGGATGACACCATCCTCAGCACGGCCTTGGTTGTCAATGGCTGGGTTTTCCTGCTGTTTTATGTCTTACCTGAGTTCCTGCTGCTCCCAAAGCAGCGCAACCCCATGGATTACCCGGTGGAAGATGCCTTCTGTAAGCCCCAACACATGAAGCAGAGCTATGGTGCGGAGAACAGAGCCTACTCTCAAGAGGAAATCAGTCCAGGTAGGAACGAGAGACTCTTGGTGGAGAGACAGGGGAGAGGGCATGGGGGGGATATTGTGGCTATAAGGAACACACAGCATTTTTCAGGCTTAAGCCTCCAAGAGAACAGAAAGGTTCACCAAGCTTCCTACCTTGCTTAAAATCAATCAGCCAGTTAGAGACGAGTAGAACCAGAAGCTGCCCTTGGGGGCTTTGACGTAGTACTTCCCACACACCAGTAGGTGTCTCTTAATCCAAATGAGATAAGGCAAAGCAAAGGGGGAAGTCCTAGTGAGCAGCTTTTGGGGAGATGGTGCACTTTATTAACAAGGTAAGTAGGTATTCCTTCCGGAAATGTGAAGCCTTTGTCAATTTGAGTGCAGAGAACCACGCCATGATCACAGAGTGATCACAGAGCACAGGAGAGGAAAAAGTCCTTTTGTCATCAACCAGTAGGAATCTTCATAAAGTTACTGAGGGTTCTGCATCAACAGCCACATTGGATTATGTGTCTCAGGGTCCATGGGCGGGAGGGAGGGAGGGAAGAGATCGTCCATGACATTCAAGAATCAGATGCATTTTGCTCCTACCTGCAGTTGTGAGAAGCCAGATGCTTTTGCTGATGTCATCCTAAGAGGCTGCCATGAGCCAGAAACTGCCCTGGCCTGTAGGGATCTGTTCCCTGGCTTCCAGGGAGTGCATTGATCCTGGAACGTAATTCCTGTAAGGATGGGGTCATTTCTGGACAGGAATGAGGGACCTCCAAGGCCTGGTTCTCGGCTCCAGTTAAATGAAAGTCTTTCATCTCTTTTAGAACCTGGGGCTTCTCCCTGTGGCTGTGATCTCTCTCCTGGGCAGGGAACGCCTGGAGGCGGGGAGGACAGAAGGTCCTTGACCCACTCCATCCCTCCTGTGGATTCCTAGGGCTTTCCTCTGTCACCTCACTCTCCGGGGTCCCTTTGATTGATCCCTACTGACTCCTTCTTGCCTTTCATTTTTGGGGCCACTGTTAACTTACTCTCCCCACTGTGGCTCCCCACGGTCCACTGCATCACCCGGGACCCGTGGTGAGGCTTCCATGCCTTGGAGCCTCGCCTTTACCCCTGCGTCTGTGTTGGGGCGAAGCTGTGGCCGTGTCTGCCCGGCGGGGCCTCTTCCCTCTTCTCCAGTGCGGAGCATTCCCGTCTCCTGCCGGACTTGCTTTGCCTGTATCATCTGCAGGACTTTGAAATGCTCTTATCATAGCGTGTCTCATTTACTAGGTATTTATGTTCGTCATATATTCCTGAGTCTCGGGGTGAGCCAGGGGTCGGGGATGGTTCTAGTTAATCCTTAGACTCTTCACAGGATCTCACATATAGAAGGATATATTGAACCCATTGGGCAGGAAGTTTGGTGGGAAAGAAATGAACTGGTTAAAATTGCTTTGATGATGATGGCATGCGTTGACTTTTGTTTCCAAGTTTAAAATGCCCTGGTTTCCTCCAAAATGCATACAAACCAATTGCTCATAAATTCCTCCCTTGTCAGGCAGTTAAGGAAGTGGGTAAATCCCCAATGAGCTTTGCTCTAGGTTTTACCACTGGTCAGATCTCTATGGGAAAATGTTTTTTTAAGAACTTTTCAAATATACTTTTGCCGTGGTCCTAGAAGAAGGTGGGGCTGCATGTCCGCAGGCTGGAAAGGGGTTTTCCTAGTGATCACATGCTGCTAATCATTCATTTTCCAGTAGTGTGCTGAGTTGGTTCCTGGTTTCTAGGCCCGAGGACATAGTCTCTCCTGCAAGAAGCATGAAGTCCACCGGACAGATAGGGGGCAAGCTGTCACAGACACACTCCAAGGGATGCAGCGGAGTGCAAAGGTGCATGTCCCTAGTGCTTTAATTTCTCATCTCCCTTTGTTTCAGGTCTCGAAGAGACAGGGGATGCGCAGTATGCTCCGTATTCCACCCATTTCCAGCTACAGGTGATTGATCTTTCTCTTTCTGTACGCACGGCATTCACATCCCAGGGACACTTACCCTTTGGCAACAGGAGTTGTCACCGTTCTAATGGGTCCTAGAAGGTCACCTGGAGAGATGACCTGTCTACTTCATTGCAGTCTGGGAGGAGGGTGGAGTGCAGGGAGGGTGTTGGGAAGGGATTGGGAGAAAGGGAAGGATGCCTGCCTAGATTGGAGAGCTGTTTAAATGGCTGGGGACAGGTCAGGCGTGGTGGCGCACGCCTGTAATCTCAGCACTCAGGAGGCTGAGGCTGGATCACCCGTGAGTTCAACACCAGCTTGGGCTACACAGCGAGATCTTGTATCAAAAAAACAAAAACAAAAACAAAAAAAAATTGCTGGGGACTGTGTGGATTTCATGATATGGTTGCTTTTTTTTTCTTTCAGAATCGGACCCCTAAAAAAGATTTCTCCATTCCACGGGCACAGGCTCAGCCTAGCCCTTATAATAACTATGAAGGAAGGAAAGAGGGCAGTTAACTCTGTTCTGAAGAGGGGCAGACCCAGCCGGGAGCCCAGAGGGATGTGGGCTGAATCTGGAATCTTCTAGAACGGTACAGTGTCTTGGGAGGGCTTGCTTGTTCCCTCCCAGCCCCGGACACTACTCTTCTGTGCTGGCACTGATGGTGGCCAATAGGACTCCAGTTCTTGCCGGGTGTGGTGGCACATGCCTGTAATCCCAGCACTCGCGAGGCTGAGGCAGGGGGATCACCGAAAGTTCAAAGCCAGTCTGAACTACATAGTGAGTTCAAAGCTAGCCAGAACTACATAGTGAGACCCTGTCTCAAAAAAAAAAAAGGAAAAAGGATAAAAAAAAGACTCTGGTCCTTGCGGCATTGTCATACTTTCCTGTGTCCCATACTTACAATACTTCTTTGGGGTAGGAGTCTTGGGCAACTCAGGGTCGGACTCTTCCTGTTCTCTCCTGTGTGACTAAAGGGTTGGTCATCTCACCGCACGCTGGCTTGTGCAGCTTTGGGAGCCGACTAGTCTAACCCAAGGGGGTTTTGTGAGGCTGGCTTGGCCCAGCGCAGAACTGCGTATCTGAGCAAAACCAGCCACCCTGGGTCTCAGCCCATCCTGTCTAATTCTACCCTGGGAGCCAGCTCGCCTTTTCGCCTTCCGACCCAGGCCAGGACAAAGGCCACCCTAAAGCTGCTGCTGGAATATGGCCCGTGCCGCTCCCCAGAGCCAGGTCACAGGGCGCCCCTCTTGTACCCCTGGCTTCTGTCAGCCCCAGACCTAATTGCACCCATGGGCTTTGCCCAGGCATTTTTCAGGACCTCATGGGCCACGCATAAGCCTAGCTTCCCCTGGTGAGGAGAACCAAGCGGTCCCTGCTGTAAATCCCCAGTCCAGGTCTTTTCCCTTCCTCTCCTTCCAGCCTCTGTAAATAGATTTTCACTGTATTTACCCCAAATTCTGTACATGGGCATTGTCTTCACTTGTGGGGAATGTTTGTTGTGTTGTAAGTTATTCACCTGGATATGCAATAAAGGCGTGGCAACAATTCTTTTTCTGTCTTCTATTTTATTTTAAGGTACTAGGGATTGAACCCAGGTTTTCACCCATGCTAGGCAAGTGCTCTAACACTGACTACACCCCCAGCCCTGGGGGCCACAATTAACACAGCAGCAGCAGGGCAGGTGGGAGGCGGCTGACGCTGAGGCTCCCGGCTGAGCCTCAAGTTGGAGCTGCAGCCCCCCCAGGCCAGTTCTGGCTTTGTATTTGCCCCCTCTCAGGTGCCCCTCCTTCCCTTTGTTATGTGTAAGATGAGGGGCTGTTCAGAGAGCAGAGTGTCGTGGGTCCTGAGGTGCCCCGGCAGCACAGAGGGGAGGGGCGGCTGTGGCGGGGCGGCTGTGGCGTGGGTCTGGCAGCCCTGGAAAACACTCGTGCCAGTCTCATGTTTTTCATGTTTTATCTGAGGTTTGCACACAAGAGAGGGTAGGTCCAAGGCTGTTGCTTGGTAGAATTGGTTCACAGTGTCTCTTGGCAAACACAAACCTAAAAGTATTATTTTCAGCTGGGTGTGGTGGTGCATGCTCGTTATACCAGCAAGTAAGAGAGGGAGGCTGAAGCAGGAGAATCACAGGTTTGAGCCTGAGCAATTGAGTGACACCGTGTCTTACAATTAAAATTTTTTTAAAGGGCTGGGGATATACTGAGCAAAGATCCTCAGTTCAATCCCCATTTTTTTTTTTTTTTTTTTAAATAAATCGAAGAGACTGCTTTATGAAGCAGAAGTTATCTCTCTTTGGTGCAGGAAAAAAAAAATCCCTATGCATAGAAACCATATGCCATTTAAAAGTTTGTAGCTAAATTAACAAGTTACTCTCAAAAAGTCTCACTTTCTGGTTTTCATCAAAAGAAGAAAAACAAAACAGACCAGTGGGTGTCGTGGCTCATGCCTGTAATCCCAGTACTCAGCAGGTTAAGGCAGGAGGATCAGGAGTTTAAAAGCAACCTGGATGACCTAGTGAGACTGTGTCTCAAAAAGAAAACATCCAAACGTGATAGTGCATGCCTGTGATCCCAGCACTCAGGAGGCTGAGGCAGGAGGATTGCTGCTAGTTTGAGGCCAGCCTTAGCTACATTGTGAGTTCAAAGCCAGCCTGGACTACATAGAGAGACCCTGTCTGAAAAACAAAAACAAAAAAACAAAAACAAACACCTCTCCAACAAACAAACAAACCCAACAAAATACAAATACTGGTGCGGGACAGAGGTGAGGTGAGTTAATGACATGATGAACTGTATGTTAGGGATGTTTATATTCCACAGAGATGTAGCTGATGGACTTTGCAATAACATTAGCCTCCTTCAGTATTTAGGGAGAAGGGGAATGGACAATAATATAGCTCCTTCCAGACTAAGCCAGTCCCCAAGAAACCAGGACCCAGGGAGAGTCGTCAGGAGGAGACAGTGATATGGTTTCACAGACTTCATGTCATAGAGCAGGACCCTGAGAAATACATAGTTCTTTCTATGTGGGGAAAAACAGTTTTTCTGTTTTTGGTACTGGGAATTGAACTCAGGACCTTGCACTTGCCAGGCAGGTGCCTGTGCCACTAAGCTATGTCCCTGGGCACAGTTTTTCTTCTCTCACATCACAAAAATCAACACGAGTTCTGTGATGTCAAAAGGTGTAGGATTCTCCTGCTAGCCAGCAAGCAAGCAAAGCTGCAGCAGATAGCAGTGGGGTGTCCTCTAGTTCAACTAAGTGCACGCACGACTTTTCTGGAGACAGTGTCAGATTCCACAGGAGAGGGCTCAGTCCCCAAGACCCTCCCACTCACCAATCACAGACTCCAGGTCGTTTTCCCTGTGCTTCTGACTCCCCAGCCATAAATGAGAGCTCCCTCCTCAGTTCCGATTAAACTGTTGAGTGGCTCAAAGCACTCAGGGAGACACACTTCCTGGCTCCTAGGAGGGATATTCCAAAGGACACAGACAAGGAGATGCGCAGGGTGAGGGACACAGGACAAGAGCAAAAAGGTCCCTCTCTGGACTTGGACCCTCTGGGAACCCCGACGTGTCCAGGTGTCTCAAAGCTCTCTGAACCCTGTTCTGGGGTTTTATGGAGACTTCAGTGTACAGGCTTGATGAATAACATGCCGGATAAACTGGGGTAGGCGGGAACCCAGCACGGTCCATCTATTCGATTGGTCTTGGCCTTTCTGTGCAGCATTCCAGGGCAAGGGGCAGAAGCCCTCTGCAAGCCAGGGCCCTTGACCGACAGTCAGACAGGGTAAGTGTCCGTTACTTTCTCATCTTTGAGACAGTGCTTGACATCCACAGCTTGAAGGAAGAGACGTTTATTTTAGCTCATGGTTTCGGAGGAGTGAGTCCATAGTTGACTGGCGCCAAGGCAGAAAGGGCATGGGGCGGGGCCTGACTGCTCACATCCTGGCAGTCAGAAAGTGGAGAGAGAGAAGGAAGGAACGAGGGAGGCAGACAACGAGGTCCAGCTAGGTACCGCCTCCACAGCAAGTCCGCAATAGCATCCCTATCATCCAAACACCTTCTAGAAGCCCCACCTCTGGACGCATGAGTCTGTGGGGGACATTTTAGACCTAACCTGCAACAGTAAGTCAGGAAATGTATGGCCAGGTAAAGGCAGGGGGAGACTGGAGTTCTATGTCCCGCCTCAGTGTTAAAAGTCTAGAGCAATGTGCAGGAACCAAACGCATACATAGCGTTATGTCTTTTCTGTCTTTCCGTCTCTGGTCTTCATCCACCAATCAAGCAAAGAGTGTTGAATGAAAGGTAAAAGCTCACAGCGGTCTGAGTCTCCTGATGGAACGGAACCGCCAGGCCTTTGCGTTATCCCCGGCGTCCTTCCTCAGCCCACTTCATGAAACAGCCGAGAAGACCCGGGAGCAGGACCCGTCTGCATCTGTGCGCATGGTTCGTCTCCTGTGAGGTCCAGTGGTGTCCAGCGTTGGAGCGCTTGTCCTTTCAGGGAGCAGAAGAAAGCTGCCTGTTCGAGCGGCACTTGTCCCGCTACAGGGCTGTTACCTTGTTTTCAGGCGTCACACTTCTGCATATAAACAAGCTCTTTTGTTAAAGTGGGGACACTTCCGGGGCTGAGAATCATCACACTAAGAATGAAGGGGATTTCAAAGCCCTTCCTTTGTCTCTTACACAGGAGAGGGGAGCATAGAATGTGATTCAGCCCAGCCTGGGCCGTGGGTGACTTCAGCTGATGGATGGCTTGGAACCAGAGCGACTCCTCTTTTGCACTAAGTGGGTGATAATGAAGTAAACCTCAGTAGCCTTTCTCTCGTCTTTCATCATCAGATGAGAACTAGACCGTGGGCCTCGGGCTCTCTGCAGGCCAAGGCGCCCAAAGATGCCATACCCCACAGTGCCACTGGATGGCGGTAAAACCTCAGCCTTCAACCCTCAGGGGTGCGGAGCCTCTCAAAAAAAAAAAAAAACCACATCGAAAGTGCTTTCCTGAGAAGTGCATGCAGCAGAGCTATGAGAGGCAAACATGTTCCGTTTAAAAGGTTTGCATTTATGAGGTCTTTCATTTCCCCTTCAGCCATCTTTCAAGAATTTGCTCGCGATCTCCAATGGCAGTTTCTTTACCCTTTGTCGTAGTTTGTGACTCTCCAAGGAATTTCCAGCCCATTTGCATGTGAATCTGGCATCTTTACAGGTCGTGGCCTTATCTGCTGTCGTTATTATCGTCAGCGCGTATTTGTGTGGTGAGAACACTGGCTTTTGTCCAGGAAAAGTGTGCCAAAGCAAAGAGCGCAGCCTGGCCCTGCAAAAGCATCAGTGAAACCCATTTCCCGCGGTGCAGTCTGTTTCCTTCATTTCTAGACTTCATGACTGCGGAACATGGAATCGTGCCCTGCTGGTCTTTTCCTTGCTGGTCTTTCCCCTGCCTGCCCACTTCCTTCTGTTGCTGCCCAGATTTCCAAGTTTGCTGATGTCCCACCTCCAACCTGAGTCGTGGAATGGGAGGTGATGTCTTCAGAAAAATCTGTCTTGAGTTGACTGCTGAGGCCCAGGCTCTGGGAATTAGCTTCCAGTGTGTAGATCCCTGTCTTTGGGAATTCCATGGCCCAACCTGTGGCTGTTTTCTGGAATCCCTCCTATCCAGGGCGTGGAGATGGGAGGCAGCTGTAATGGTGCCCAGCCCCAATTATTTATGCATCCTCCAGATCTGTGCAGTTTCCTTGATCCTTCAGGGTAGAAAGAAGACTTCAGTGC